CTCCCTCATCCCTTTTCCCACCCCTTTCCCCCCTCTCCCCTTCCTTCCCCTTCTCATCCCACCTTTCCCTTCGCCCACCCCCTTTCCCCCTCCCTCCCTCCCATCCCCCTGGAGGTTTGGGGTGTGTCCCCTGACCCTCCTCCGTGTCCCCCCCCCTCCCCAGGCCTGAACATGGGCCCGGTGGTCGCGGGGGTCATCGGGGCCCGCAAACCCCAATACGACATTTGGGGCAACACCGTCAACGTCTCGAGCCGCATGGACAGCACGGGGGTCCCCGACCGCATCCAGGTCAGCTGGGGGGGTGGGAGGGGGACAAAACCACCCCCCAGGGACCCCCACAACACCCCCTCACCCTCGTGTTTCCCCCCTCAGGTGACGACGGACCTGTACCAGGTGCTGGCGGCCAAGGGCTACGTGCTGGAGTGCCGGGGGCTGGTCAAGGTCAAGGGCAAGGGGGAAATGACCACCTACTTCCTCAACGCCGGCCCTGGGAGCAGTTAGGGGGGGTCCCCGTGGTGCCCCCCCCCCCCAGGGGCCAGGCAAGGGAAAAAATTAAAAATCCCCAAATCCACGTATTTAAAAAAAAACCAAGAAAAGAAAAAAAAGGGAGAAACGGACACAAGGGAGGTGGTTGGAGGGGGGGGGCTGTGAGACCCCTCTGTGCTCCCCCCCCTTTCCCAAGGTGGTGTTTTGGGGGGGTGTTTCCCAGGCCTGCACCGGGGTGTTTTATTTTGGGGATGGGGGGCAGGGTGGGGTGAACCCACCGCCCCCTTTCCTTTGCTGAAACCCCTCCATGTGCCAAAGAGGGGAGATGGGGGCCCCCCCCACCCAGGGAAGGTTTTGGGGGGGTGTTTGAGGGTGGGGGTGTCCCCAGCCCCCTCCACGTGCCAAATTGAAGTGCCGCCTGCGGGGGGGGGAAGGTTGGGAGGGACGCAGGCCCAGCACCTCCGCAGCCCCCCCACCCCCCCGGGGGTCCCAGCTCCCTCTGGGGGGGGGCTGCAGCGGGGAGGAGTGGGGGGGCAGCCCCCCCCTTCCTTTTAAATGCAAAAAAACTAATGAAGTGACTTTTTTTTTTTCTTTAAATTTTTTTTTCGGTTTGGTTATTTTTTTTTTTTT